ATATAAGCTCATCGCTCATGAGCTCTGCATCACAGATCAAGATATCTTACTTCGGGGTGATCGCATTGTTCTTCCTAACAAGCTGAGACAACAAGCAATTAGCCTTGCACATGAGGATCATGCAGGTATGGTCCGCTGCAAACAACGCCTGCGCTCCAAGCTTTGGTGGCCAGAGATGGACAAGCAGGTTGAAGAACGAATTCGATGCTGTCATCCATGTCAACTTGTCAGTAAGAGCCCGCGACCAGAGCCAATGGAACCAACTAAGCTTCCCAAGAAACCATGGTCGAAGCTAGCCATAGACGTATGTGGACCATTTCCCACTGGAGAACAAGTAGTTGTCCTTACTGACTATTATTCGCGCTGGCCAGAAGTCAAAATCTTAAAATCAGTCACGTCCAAAAACATTCTCGACTGGTTACTATCGGTATTTGCAACTCACGGATTTCCAGATGAAATAAAGTCCGACAACGCATCCTACTTTGTTTCTACCGAGTTCAAGGATACATTAACTTCTTGGGGAATAGAACATAAGACGGTGACGGAATATTGGCCGCAAGCAAATGGGCAAGTTGAGAGATTTAATCAAGTTCTCGAGAAACACATCCTAACCGCACAGGCGGAAGGAAAAGCATGGAAACCCACCATTCCAATCATGCTACTCCACTACCGCAATACTCCTCATAGAATGACCGGAAGAACACCTTCATCATTGCTAATGAACCGAGAAGTCAAGACGAAACTTCCTAGTTTTGAACAACAGACAAACGATGAAACTGAAACTCGCATGAAAGATGAAGAGGAGAAAGAGAAATCGAAGAAATATACCGACAAGAAGCGAAAAGCAAGTCCAAGAAATCTTGAAGTCGGAAATAAAGTACTAGTTACTCAAAAACATCGAAACAAATTTACGACAAAGTTTCATCCTGATCCAATGGTAATCACCAAAATAAACGGCACGCAGATAGTGTTAAAAGACAAGAATGGCACACAACATCGTAGAAACTCATCGCATGTCAAGTTATACCAGGAAATTCCTGATCCTGAAGAAGAAATCCAGAGTGATCGCAAGCATGACAGACAAACGGAAAGTCGCGAAGAAAACACCGAAGCAACTCAAACAGAAACCAACCAGAATACTACAGAAACGGAAATTGTTCTACGTAGATCAACGAGAAATAGAAAACAACCAGACTATCTAAAAGTAGGTTAAATTAGTCAAGTTTAAAATGCAGACTGTTGACATTTAGTTTAGTTTAAAGAACACGGTAATGAAACCCGTAATAGTAATTCCAAGACACTAAGTCTTAGAACGGAACTACAAAGTAAAGAACTACATAGAATAGAGATTTTAGAAACTGTAAAGGTTGATATTTTCATAACTATAATTAAGGAAGGGATGTTGTATCCAAATGCTGATTGGTCAGCTGAAGTGATTGACATATAAGATTAGGTCACGAGACATTAGATTAGGAGACGCTAAGCCAGAGAGCAAGTATAGATGTATAATATAGCAGAGTAAATATATGTTATAAAAGTTGAATAACAGAGGATATAAAAAAATGACAATAATCTTTTATTACCCAACCCTTTTACTCACTCAAAAATTTGTCTACCCAACCCAAGGGAGCACGCCAGAAATACTTGTGTAAATTTATACTAACCTTTTAATTACATGTAAATGTTTTCAATTCTCATCGGGCGCCATTTTGAATGTTGAAAGCGGTATTAGCTTATCGCAGGCGCAATAATTTATGTTCATCTTTGACATTAATTTATGTTACACGATGATACTCCGAAGGGCGACCGAGAAAGATCCGAAATTTAAAATGAGGCGGAGAAATAATAAAAAATAAAGAGGGGAGTGAAACGGCCGAACTATTATCCACTGATGCTGGTTGACTGTTACTAGGAACATTTGATGTTGCTAGGAACAAACCGGAAACAAAATGAGACCTACTATTACGGGAACCACTGAGTATTTTAATATAATATACTGTAGAACAACAAATTATAATATAATATACTGTAGAAAATAATTTTTTTTTATTATTTTCGGATTTACCGTTGATTTATATTTGATCTACTATTAGTTCAATGGAGTCACATTAGAATATATTATTAAAATTGGGGACAATGGCGAGAGTTTGTATATCAGATAAACATCGGCTGCTCGTGTTTTAACGTGCTTAAAAGACGACCCATCATATGAGTTCATTGGCGAAGTAATTTTAAAATAAACATTGTCTAAGCCGAGAAAATCGAAGCTGAAGTTTATGTAAATCCCTCGATGTAAATGAGGACAATTTACAAATCTATTATCCGACGATTTACATACATTGATTAAACATTCATTTCTTTTGAATTTCCTTCATGAATTATTAATACTGTATTTTGTGTCCAGCATTCGCAAATGTATTTGTTTCTCTGCTGTCGAAAATTCACTGCTGGCGAGCAACGATGCAAATCGATACAAGTTTTGATATATTTCAGATTCGACAGTTCTTGGTCAACGAGCATGGCCAGATAACGAAATTGGATATACGCATTGTCATTGGCCAATACTCCATCACGTGTTCGGCCGTTTCACTCCCCTCTTTATTTTTTATTATTTCTCCGCCTTATTTTAAATTTCGGATCTTTCTCGGTCGCCCTTCGGAGTATCATCGTGTAACATAAATTAATGTCAAAGATGAACATAAATTATTGCGCCTGCGATAAGCTAATACCGCTTTCAACATTCAAAATGGCGCCCGATGAGAATTGAAAACATTTACATGTAATTAAAAGGTTAGTATAAATTTACACAAGTATTTCTGGCGTGCTCCCTTGCCCAACCCTTTTCTCTTCGGTGCCAACCCCCGCCATAAAGAAGTGCGTATATAGTCGTATAGGTTTTCAAATCATTCCTATCATTATTTTTTTTTGTGTTGGTGTAATGTACTCAGGTGAATATGATGCTTGTGATGTTACTCTGAGTGTATATCCACACCGGGCAAGCTTGAAAAATATGCCTGACCACGGTGGGAATCGAACCTACGACCTTTGGAATACTAGCCCAATGCTCTGCCAAATGAGCTACGCGGTCTGGTCGGTTCGAGTAAGTGATATTTCGGAACAGAATCTAGTTCCTTCGATATCAATGTAATCAAATAATCATGATTAGGAACTAGATTCTGTTCCGAAATATCACATACTCGAACCGACCAGACCGCGTAGCTCAGTTGGCAGAGCATTGGGCTAGTATTCCAAAGGTCGTAGGTTCCATTCCCACCGTGGACAGGCATATTTTTCAAGCTTGCCCGGTGTGGATATACACTCAGAGTCTGCCTCCTCCACAGGCGTCTCTTGGTCTCTAAATACAGCGCGAACGCGAAAGGAAAGTAGATGAAAAGCCAAAGCAGATGGAAAAGCGGCGAGAGAATAATTGGCTCGCCAGAACGCCTTTTTTTCTCACGCACCGCCTTTTTTCTCGCGCGCCGCCTTTTCCTCATCAGTATATTAAAGAGACGTCTGGGTACGAGGCAGACTCAGAGTAACATCACAAGCATCATTCCTATCATTGTTTATTCTGCCAGCAAACGTTTAATTATTCGCTTCTTTCTGTATGTTCAGCGCATCCATACACCTACCAATGGCTACAGATTTCATCACCACAGAACAGTCATGGCTATATGGAAGGGAAGAACGCTCAACGAGTTGTTTTGAGTCAGGTGAGTTGAAATTAAGCTGACGGGAACGATTTTCGCGCATAAAGCCTGATTTCCATATGATCGTAACGGTCGTAAAGATTGAGTCACGATCTTTCTCATCAGCCGAAATACGACATTTTAGAACCGAAAATACGCGGAGTGATTATAACTGGAGAATATTTATGATTTATATGTGGTTTACAGGTATGGACTATATAAACTACTGGCCGTTGAGAAAGACCGTGACTCTATTTTTTACCAGGCTTAACTGCGGATTTAAGAGCACTTACAAATTTGTATACAGACTGATACGTAAATAAGTTGTTTTTTTTTGTTTTTTATCGTATAGTTGAAGAAGCCAGGTGTGTATCAACTGAAAGTGATTGTTCGCAGTTCTCATTACGCTTATGGCAAGGCATTTGTCAACGTCACTGTCGAGAAACGTAAGTGGAAATTGTCAGTCAATCCTGCAAGTGTTGTACATTTGTATATAGCCGTTGAGTATTAGATTTTGTTGCCCACTGATAGCGTACTGTAGTTATTATGTGTGTGTGTCTGTGGACGTTAAAAGTACCTTAAAATTAACTTTTATTTTTAGCAAAACGTGTAAATAAACCACCCAGAGCAGATATCTCTCCTAAAGAACAGTCGATCACTCTCCCCACAAATGAAGTTGTTTTGGACGGATCAAGTAAGTGCAGCTATACTGTAGTAATCTCGTGCTATGTACTGTAGAAGTACCCAGACAAGTAAAAACAGATCGCAAATTGAACCCGGAAAGATCCGGAAAACATACCCTTGGACTCATTTTTGAGCAGTTGAAGCTAAGCTTACACTATGATATCCAGTTAATTTAACCTGTACGGGTAATATTTATTTAACTTATAGAAATACATATATAGACAATGGCAGGGGACACACTACAGCTTTCGCCAATACACCCTTTCGGTAGTTACGTCATTTGGCCTGGGAGCCTCGCTCTCATGAATCGTGAGCCAATCACCTTGCGTAATTTACTAATGAGAGCGAGGCTCCAAGACCAAAAGGTATGTGTGACGTAATTATCGAAAGGGTGTATTACAGCGGCCCTATATACATATTGATTTCCATGTTCTTGGATCATACACGTCGTATACCGTTTCTAGTGCTACTTTATAATACATGAAAAGTCCATTTTTGAACTGACTATGGCCGGTGTTATTGCCTGAGTGTCAAGTTTTTTTGCGGTATATTCCACATTCTGGTACATCTATTTAAATAGGACTTTTGGAATGTATAGTTGTCTTGCATCGTGTTGTCGTGAATGACAAATGCATGGTCAGGATCCGATGATCTTGTTTCTCTTTGGCTGTTGGCACTATATAACTAGTAATACAGTATATAAATATAATATAGCTATATATATATATATATATATATATATATATATATATATATATATATATATATATATATATATATATATATATATATATATATATATATATATATATATATATATATATATATACCACGATTGTCGATCTTATTCACAACAGCGAACTTATTCAATGACCTTCCCCCAGAAGTACGATCATGTGCAGACTTAAACGTATTCATGAGGGAAGTGAAACAATTACTGAAATCCAGAGCATTCCTACGCCTTGAATAGACTTATTTGTATTGTATTAGTGCAATGTTTCTTCTTATTAACAATTTAGTTTAAATTTATAACAATTATTAACAATTTATATATATTTAATTGTTTTCAGTTACGCAGATATAAAGCTACCATGTAGATAAGCTGCAATAAAGTCTTTATTATTATTATTATATTATTATTATTAAATAGCTTAATCTCATATAATCCAATCTCATGTAATAATGTATTCTTACAGAGAGTTCTGATGATGACAAGATAGTAGAATACAAATGGCAAGAATTAAAAGGTCCACTATCAGAAAAGAACAAGATCATAAAATCTGGAGTCGATTCACCTATACTACAACTCAAGTCCCTCTTGCCTGGGGTATATACGTACAAGTAAGTGAACAGAATGATCTGCAGCATTATGTGCAGAAGATTTAGGGACTTTTATAGGACTGAGGTTTCATTTTGCTGCATTGTTATAGGTTAACTGTTATAGACGCTGATGATGAGACTGATTCTACTACAGCAACTGTTACTGTTAATGCTGGTAAGTTTTTTTTTATCCTAAAAACCGAGTATATGTAGAAAAACCCCGGTGCGAAACTGGGATGGCTATTTGATATGCACTCTTTATTTGCTGATTCGTGTGGAAATACATGTACTGTAGAACAATGAGTGTTGTTACTTGTTTTTATCCTGTTTATATCTTCCTGTTTGTTTTTGTGTCGTGTAGAAAAAGACTACCCACCTGTAGCAAGGGCTGGAAATGATGTTGTTATCACATTACCAGAAAATTTTGTCACGTTGTATGGGAATGGAAGTACTGATGATCATGTAAGTCACTGTTCTGTACTTTTGGAAATGTGTTTTGTTGTGTTGTGTTGTGTTGTGTTGTGTTGTGTTAAATTGGATTGCGTTTGTGTTATGAAGAAAGTGTTGTGTTGTGTTGTGTTGTGTTGTGTTGTGTTGTGTTGTGTGAAATGTTTTGTGATGTGTTGTGATGAGTTGTCATTTGATTCGATGTGTCGTGTTTGGATTAGACTAATATATTGAACACTCTATACAGTATATTAAAATGTATTGTAATAACTGCATATTAAATTTACTGTAACTGCATCTTTTGTATGTTATTGCGTCATGCTACCACTGCTTCGTACCTAAGACGTTTTCAGAGCATTGCTATAACTGCGAAAAGTCCCTCAGTATAAGGACTGTAGGGGGCAAGCTAGTGTATGCATGCAATTCTATTTTGCGCCAAGAGCTGGCATGTTAGCTCCTCGAGAAGACTTTATAAATAAATTCATATCTATGTTATAACTTTGTGTTATCCTTGCGTGTACTCTACAATACAGCTTTTTATTGCTCTGCCTTGTGTACATTTGCAGTCGTATGCTGGACAGTTCAAGCGTTCAATTGTCATTTATTTTATTATAGGGTATAAAGGGTTATGAATGGAGCAAGAGCCCATTAAGTCCTGCTTGTGATCTTCAGGTATTTCAGAAGACATTTCACCAGTGGCGAAGATAGTCATGGCAACTGGTCATGCTATCCAAATAAGCATGCAATTAGATAGTCTAAAGACAATACGTTTCTAGAGTTCGAATAGTTAAAAAAAAATTTAATTTGCTTAGCATGACCAATTGCTATTGTCTAGCTTCGCCACTCTATTTCACTTCAACTAGGCTACGTAGCGGCGCGAAAAAGCACCTATCCGATACGGAATGTACAACTTTCAAAAGCTCTGCGAAACAACCTCTTTCTGTTGCAATAATTCCCCTGAACACAGCGTTCCTATAAAAGGTACGGATTGGTTTTTTTTTCACGTCGCTACGGAATTCAAAGCTATTTGGTGCAGTGTAACCCTCGTGTTCTTAAGGATTTGTAAAAATTTAATGAAAGAAAACCCGTAGTGTTTGGTACAGTCAACTTGAAGCACTCTTCTCACATGTGACTCGGCAACAATTAGCCTTTCTCACGAAGGCCAAAATCTGCCATTTTTTGGGTACTGTCTGCCCTCGTGAAAGATTCTAGACAATTGAAAAAAAAAAACGTGAAAAACGACTTTTAAAGATGCGGTAAAGTCCGTTCTGCGCATATATTCTGCGCATCAAAACATTCCATCAGTGGGGGAGCAACCTAATATTTCGCACCTTCCGAACTTTCTTGAATTGAATCTCTAGTCTGTATTCATTTACAAGCATAACGAACCAGAAAAGTGTTAAAAATTCAATATAGTATATATCTAATCATATTTTACAACTGTTAAGTAGCAGTGAGTTCAAAATGTAAACAAAGCGTTTGTTTACATTACGGACTTTACATCACCTTTAAAAGTTGTAACTGTAAATTTACCATTGTACAAACAACTACAAAAAAAAGTTGTATTTTGTGGTGCGGAGACTCTCGAACGTGGGAGAGGCAGTACCCCAAAATGGCGGGAAAATCGGCCGTGAGAAATGCTAATTGACATGAATTGTCACTGGTTGCAGAGATGAAAAAACACGTGCAAATTACGTGCAATGCATTTGCCGTTAACCACATTTAACTTTTGAATATCGTATTTCAACAGGGTAGTACAGGTCCGATACTTCATGTATCCAACATGATTGTCGGCGACTATTCGTTCACGCTGAAGGTAACTGACTCAGGGGGTCAGAGTTCCGACAGCAAAGTGACGGTGGTAGTACGACCGGAGAGGAACTCCCCTCCGCTAGCATATGCCGGAGATGACAAAGACTTGGTATTCCCAGATGACACCACTACATTGAGTGCCAAGGAGAGCACAGATGACCAAGGAATAACTAGTTTTAAATGGGAGAAATTAAGGTTGGTACTCTATAACTACATACACATGCAAAAATCACACATCTTGTAATAAGGTTGTCAACACACCGTAAACAAGTTGTCTTCGCACTGCTTATCACAACTTGTCAACAAGTTTGGAACAAGCTGTTAACAACTTGTAACAACCTTGTTGAGATTATCAGCCTTGTTACAAGGCTGTTCCAACAACAAGTCCGATACAGTCATGATATACAGTAGCAGTATTGTTACAACCTTGTGTCGTCAACCTTGTAACATTCTTGTTTATCATGACTGTATCAGACTTGTTGGAACAACCTTGTGATAATGCCATCAAGCTTGTTATAAGTTGTTAACAGCTTGTTCCAAACTTGTTACAACAACTGGGAACAAGCAGTGCGCAGACAACTTGTTGACAGCTTGTGAACGGATTTGTAACAACTTGTTTGCAGACCTGTAACAACTTGTGCGTTTTTACGTGTGTAACTGGAGTGATGACATTGAAAGTACTGAAGTATTTTATATGCTCTTTTTAATGAATACGTTTGCTCTTCATTATCCATATTTTTGTTCAGACACATTGTATATTTTTAGACTATTTACTTTTCACATTCTAGTGGTCCTTCATCAGTTGTGATGTCCGGAGTTGAAAAGATGGTTTTGAATTTGTCTCAGTTGAAGGAGGGACACTATGTGTTTAAGTTGACTGTGACGGATGCCAAGGGTCTGACAGGGACAGATAGAGTGTCAGTGAATGTCAAAAGAGGTATGGACACTAATAAGATACATGAAAATATTTCTCAGGTCTGATTGGCTGGGAGCAGTGCAATTTTTTCGAAATACAGTGCCAAAAAATGAAATACAGTGCAAAAAAAGAAATACAGTCCAAACTTCTTAATTTTCTTAATTTTTATTTTTCAAATTTTTTCATTTTCTTAATTTCTAAATGTGACTTACGCACGTGACTGCATAATCTTTTCATGTATGTTATGGTTTCTCCCTGCAATTTGAAAAAACATACACTCGTGAGTTTTTCAAACACTCGTCCTTCGGACTCATTCAATTTTGATAGTCTTTGAAAAATTCACTCGTGCATTTTTTTCCAAATTGCACTCCAAACCATATTAGCTATACATATAATGAATGTTTATGACTGCAATGGTAAAAATGAGGGGAATCGAAAGATGGAATTCTCTATTCCACAGAATAAGCTTGCCATATTCACTGGAATTTAATTTTTTTTTAATATCCTTACTATGGAAATAGCATGAAAATGCTACCGCGTAACGGATCTTAGTTGGAAATAGTATAAAATGCAATTTTTATACTAATTGCAATTTCCATATTATGGATATAGTATGGAAATAGAAACACCAGGCGGAAATCGAATTCTAGTTAAAAATATTATTGCCCAGCAAATAACTCGTAAAAGAGGCATATTCAAAAAAACATTTCGAATATAAAAAATTTTTATTGAGTAACGTTTCGTCACATTACAAGCGACATCATCAGACTAAATACAGTTAAGCTATTTCATCTATTTTATAACAAATTTTGAAAAAATATACGATATACAATTACAAACGGTTAAAAAGTTAAAATTAGAAATATATAATGTTCATGGCATATTGACATGCACAAGATACTGAGATTAGTGAAAGATATAGATTAAAAAGGAATGTCAAGTGGTTAGCGTCAGTGTTAAAAGATGTTAGTATAAATTAACAAGAGGAAACACCTACTTAGAAGAGTGTCAACGGAAAGGATCGGACATTATTATTAAGCCATGTTTTAGTTTGAGCAATTAGTAAGCTTTCTTTAATTTAAATTAATAAGAATATTAAAAATATTATAGCTGGGCAATAATATTTTTAACTAGTATGGAAATGATATGGATATACTATGATGGTAACTCTGATTCTCTAGATGGTAACAAACCTCCCCAAGCAGACGCTGGCCCAGATGTTTTCGTAAAACTGCCAAATCGCGCCGCTGGCCTGGACGGCTCTACTTCCAGTGATGACTATGGCATTGTTTCTTATACCTGGACACGAGATTTGAAAAGTCCAGCTGCTGGGGTATGTTGATAAAGCCTTACAATGTAATTGATTCTAGTTCGGTTTACAACTTGAGATTATGAACAATACAGTTGCCTGTAGCTCACAGAAGACCACTTGATTACATACCGGGCAGGGGCTGAAATTTGCAGTATCCCAATATCCATAGGATACCAAAATTTGGTGGTGTGTATACCAAACTGTGAATGACTTGTGTTCCAACTGGATACTTAGAAAATTTCAAACATTAAGAAAATGTTAAACACCTTTGACGGGTTCCTGATAACTTTTGAATACTATCAGTTTACCACCAGTCTTTCCTCATTGAGGACTAGCATATAGAAGTTTGTTGAAGGATTATGCACATTTTAGTGTATTAATGAATTGTTTAGTTGTTGACTGTTGAGTCTCCTGTTGTTATTGTAATTTGTAACAGTGAGAGTTATGGAAACTTATTTGGATGGGACGGGGTATAATACTTATGGTATCGGTAACCAGTATCCAGAAGTGGGATACTGAATTCTCAGTGCGGATACTAAACTTAGAATCCTGAAATTCGATCAAGGGGGCCATGTCCCTCCCCAATGATTTCTAAAAACCTTTGAACAAAGTTGTCACAATAACCTTTCAACCATGAAAGCATTATAGTACAGGCTACTGTATAAACGAAGCTTACTGTATATTTTTTAGGATGTGATCAATGGCAGTAACCGTCAACCCATTTTGAGACTCTCGAATCTTGTCAAAGGCGTTTACAAATTCCGTCTGACCGTGAAAGACGCCAAGGGACTGAAATCTTATGATGACGCCAAAATCTTTGTGAAAGAAGGTTCGTCGCTTGTTAAATTACTTCTTGTGCAGGGACCGCGGTTGTTCAAAGCTGGGTTAGCTTAACCCTAGGTTAACGTAAAATTCAAAGCAAACGTCCTGTAAACAGCTTGTCTATAAATTTGGAAATATTTCTTCAGAGATCTTGCCTGGGTCGACAAACTAAAACAACAGGTTACATTTTGACCCAAGGGCTAGCGTTAACCCACCTTTGAACAACTGGCCCCAGCGCTATAAGAAATGTGAGATTATGTAAAACAGGACATTTCGAAGTTGTAATTCTGTGCTTCTCCACGCAATAATTTTGAGTTGCCAATTGAAAAATAAATTTACAAGCGCGAAATTCTACATAGAATTTCATTTCGCATATACTAGGATCCTCAAACTTTCTTCAAAGCGTTAACACCAGAGTTAATAGTCCGAAAGAGCAGTTTGGTATGGCAAGTAAAAAATATTGTAATATACAAAAGTCACGAGAAACGTTTATCAGCGTGAGTGGGATCATTTTGGCAGTTCGAAAAACAGAGATTGCAAGCTATATTTCATTTGGACTGCCAAAAATGATTGTTTGTTAGGCCACATTTTTTCTCTATATTTAAATAATAATGGAAATGTTTTTATCATACAGATGTGAATAGTCCAAGCCTGGTTGAATTGTATCTTGATGTGGACATTACGTCCTTCACGGAGGAAAACAAGGTATATATCGTATTTCCGTGCAGGATTGCGTGATCCATGCACGAGGGATGTCGCGAGACTTTCGGAAAGCGTAAAAATACTCGAGCCGCAGGCGAGTGTATTTTTACGCTTTCCGAAAGTCGAGCAACATCCCAAGTGCATGGATCACGCTGTCCTGCTTGGAAAACCATTTGGTAATTGTTTTATAAAATAACTACAGTGAAACAATGACATTTTGAGAATCCCGCGAAGGCATTTTAATTCCTCGTGCAGGATAGCCTAATCCTGCATAGCTATTGAACAATCAAATTGCGTGTTTCACTGTAGTTATTATACAATCTGTTTTACACAATGCTTTTACACAAGTAATGCATTTGCATCTCTGCATTTATTAGTGTCGTAGTTTTATCACATTCCTGGTTTAGTAACTATATACAATCATTGAAAAGACCCTTCGGGCAGTGGAGGCCCTCGTGATCCCTTTAACTCCCGCACCCCCTAATATATCATAACCTCTTGTTCTTGACCGGGGTATTAGTAATTCATTTAGCCGAAATTAACAGTGTACAAAATGAAGCAGATTCTCTGAACGTTATTTTGATCTCTGAATATAATTGTTGTGATTTTTCTGCAGCGACAACTCGTCCGAAAACTTGCAGTATCTCTGAACGTCATGGACTCGGATATCGTCATTGAACATATTCAACCGTCAGGAAGAGGAAACAGGTTTGTTGTCATTTACTGATTGTTGCATTGACTCAGCTCGGTTTGAAAACACTACACGAATGACTAACATATCCAAAGCCAGACTCATGATTGTATGTACTCAAGATTATTTTAAATTTATATCCTTAGCTTTGTAATTATAAATTTTACACCCCCCCCCCCCCTCGAAAATCCACTTACATTGATGGGGTTAGCGTGTTCAAATAAAGCTTACCTTGTCTTACCTACTTAGATTTTTGGCTTAGAATTAAGATTCCTTGTTGCATTAGACTTTTCAATCGATTTTCAAGCATTTGTATTACTGTATATAATTTCGTGACATGAAAGTGTAGAAACATTATTACATTTAACAAATATAAAACATTTTCCGTGTTGATATACATGCAGTTATACTGTATCAACACGAGTGGAAATTGGGAAAACGAGAAATTGTGTGGAAACACGTCGCCTGAAGGGCGGAGTGTTTTCACACAATTTCGAGTTTTCCCAATTTCCACGAGTAGAAAAGAAAGAAAGAAATTTTCCGACGTCTCCATGCATGTTGACATTGAGCTATATCAACACGGCTCTTAGCCAATCGGCGTTCAGAATTTACAAATGCTATAATATATATTATATCATTTACTTATTCATTTCCTCAACGTTGTTTGGCCAATTATCCCACAAATAACTGGTGAAAATAGTGGAGATAATGGTCTAAATTATTGTACAGATTTGTTGAAGTTCGTGACAGCCACAAAATTTTGAAAATGAATAAGTAAATGACAAAACAATAGACAAATCCCATTATAGACTAATTTTAAAACTAGGCAAGGAGATGCAAATAAATCACCACAGCTAGAAAGAGCATACTAAAATTAGTAAAATTACAAAATTTGGGTGCGAAATGTTGTAAAATGTGGAAAACATAGCCTTGCAAAGTTTGCAAATTTTGTATACTTTTGTATTGCGTGCGACATTTTCGGCCTAAATGTGGTAGGAATGTGGTAGGAATTTCCGCAAGCAATACAAAAGTATCCAAAATTTGCGAACTTTACAAGGCTATATTTTCCTCATTTTACAACATTTCGCAACCAAACTTTGTAATTTTACTATTTTAGTATGCTCTTTCTAGCTGTGGTGATTTATTTGAGTTTCCTTGCCTAATTTTAAAATTAGTCTATAATGGGAATTGTCTATTATTGAACGCGATTTGTCAGTGGCGAGCAGATCATTGTTTGCCGATGCCGAAGGCAGAGACAAATAATTGATCTGCGAGGCGACAAATAATTGATCAATGATCGATGGCGAAAGCAGAGGCAGATAATTGATCAACCTCGTCCAATAATATTATTTTTCTGAAACGTTTTGAAACGTAAACAAGGAAAAACATTCATAATTCTAAGAAAAGACGAAATACCCAGTGTTTTGACTTTTGTGAGTCAAAGCTGATGCTATCAGCTTGAAATGTATCAAACTTAAATTGCCATGACATATTTTTGATGAATAAAACCCGAGAGACAACCACAAGAAGAGATAAGTTTCGATACTTGCTTGCCGAGAGTTCACAACAACACTTATAGAACTTCAAAAAAGCGTCGACGCCTAATTGTGCGATGTATTAAAGATGTATTTGAAAAAGGATTAAATATATTTGAGAATTTTTGTGGAAGAAGAAACAATTGTGTGAATGTATAGCAAGAGCCGACACTTCATAAAATACTGCAGAATGTTTAAATATTGAAGGTATTAATAAAGATATGTTTGAAATACGAGACACGGAGACAGATATACAGTTAATTTGAAAGATTACATATCTGGCCTCGTTTTTACCAATTTTATGTCTTCCGGAATAAGTCGTGGTTTAAATCGTCGCGAAAATAATAATACATTTGTGTATTTACAATGGATACAACTTGCCTCAATACAATCACTGTTCGCTCCACAGCTCAATAGCTGGCAGAAAATCGATTTAAGCTCAGTCTGTCTCTGGTATATACTGTATCTGATTTTCTATCTATCTTGCCCTGCCTCGATTAACTTTATATAGCTTTTGCAGGGCAAGCTGGAATTTAATTTTTTTGTTAAATAATCATTGAAGTTGATAGGTATAGAGCGGGGTCGGAGTCTCGAATCAACTTTAAACCTCAGGTCAAATGAGACTTCCCAAGCCACGAATTGTTACAAGGGACAATAAGCTCTATATTAGCAACACGAAGGTTTGATAAGTGTTCCAACTTTGTTTTAACTTAATTAATTTAATAAAATACGTGATAGTGTTGGGAAAGCATTAAGAACAGCTAGCCATTATTCATTAAGGTCGCGTGATTTCCCAACTTTCATGTATACTCTTATCCTCGATTCATCCGGGCAGTACAGTTGACTTAGCCGGTGTAAGGAACTTATATTGGATATTTTCTCTTACAATTTATTGTTTATTTAGTTTGGTTGTGCTATTCTACGTGCGAGACAGTCTAATCAAGCAGTCCAGAGATGGCAAAGAGATCGCATACTTACTAAAACAGAAAATCAGTGACACCTTTTTTGAATTCAGAATGCAAGAAGTAGAACCTTATGGTATGTTGTGTATATTATTAGTTTGACAGTAAAATTCTGTAGGTAAATATCATAATTTTACGCATGTGCACTCGATATAGTTAATCGTAAAGGCTTTGGAGATTTTGTCCCGGGCTCGACATTTAAACGAGGCCTAACAATTTGCAACAAGTTGTTGAATTGTGGAATCCCGTACAGACAATCAAGTTTCCCTTGACAAGTTTACTTTCTCGGAAATGACAAGTTTACCTTCTCGTGTGTACAGTCAACAGGTTTTCCTTGGCAAGTTTACTTTCTCGTGTGTACAGTCAACAAGTTTTCCTTGACAAGTTTACTTTCTCGTATGTACAGTCAACAAGTTTTCCTTGACAAGTTTCCTCGACAAGTTTACTTTGACAAGTTTACTTTCTCGTGTGTGCAGTCAACAAGTTTCCTTTGACAAGTTTACTTTCTCATCTGTACAGTCAACAAGTTTCCCTTGCCAAGTTTTCCTTGACAAGTTCACTTTCTCGTGTGTACAGTCAACAAGTTTCCTTTGACAAGTTCACTTTCTCGTGTGTACAGTCAACAAGTTTCCTTTGACAAGTTTACTTTCTCGTGTGTACAGTCAACAAGTTTCCCTTGACAAATTTTCTTTCTCATGATCATATACAGTCAACAAATTTTCCTTGACAAGTTTCCTTCACAAGTTTACTTTCTCGTGTGTACATGCAGTGAACAAGTTTTCTTGACAAGTTTACCTTCTCGTGTGTACGGTCAACAAGTTTCCCATGAAAAGTTTACCTTCTCGTGTGCCCGGAATATTGTTAAACATTTACCTCACGTCAAGGCCGCATTTTGTTTGCCAAAACCATAGAAGTATTTCTTGTACACTAGTCAAATTGTCCTTGGAAGGCCGTACACACGAACGCATTTTCCTTGTCCAAAAGCTGGCACGACACTGTACCTTTGCTTTGGAACAAAGCTCCTTGGCAAAGAAAAAATGTCAATTTCTCGCCGAGCAAATAGACTTGTCAAGAAAAACTTGCTCGCTTTATGCGGGACTTAAATGTCGATCGATCGGTGCCATTGTGGGCAGAGACGATAACATACATGCAGCTATGGTGTGAATGGATATGCAACTCCTTGGAAAATATTAGCAGAATTACATTGAGTTGCCATTTTGCATGGCGATAAAACATACAGTATAATACTTTAGTTTGTGGAAACACCACGTAAATTTATTACTGCAAAGCTTTCGATCCGTATAAGCCCGGATCTTCATCAGTGCTAATAATATGATAAAATTGAATAATGTAATAATATGATCATTCTTGGATCGAAAGCTTTGCAGTAATATATTTACGTGGTGTTTCCACAAACTAAAGTATTATTGTATATCCTTCACGTCGCAGCTTCCTTCATTAATGTCTCATTCTCTGTTTGTGTAGTTTGCAGAAACAATTGCTCAGGGCACGGATTTTGCGACCAACATACGAAGCAATGTATTTGTGAACGTTTTTGGATGCAAGATCCTTTCAAAGCAAAATTCGGACTTCGCGAAAGCAATTGTGGTAAGTGGGAGCCTCATAGACTGGCTTTCGCTGTGCGGTTTTTGAACAGCTGGTTTACGCAGCTGCCTGAAAGCTTTTTTATTGATAAGGCGTGGCTTTAAGCAGTTTATTTATAACGTCAACTTTACAAAACAACAAATTGCCCAACAAATTAGCTACAAGCTTGGTGATATTATCAGACTTGTTGCAAGGTTGTTCCAACAAGTCCGATACATTCGGGATAGAACAATGTTGTTACAAACTTGTGTCGTAACCTTGTAGCATTCTTGTTATATCATGACTGTATCAGACTTGTTAGAGCAATCTTGTAACAAGTCTGATAATGCCATCAAGCTTGTTACAAGTTGTTAACAGCGTGTAACAAGCTTTGTGATATTATCAGACTTGTTGCAAGATTGTTCCAGCAAGTCCGACACATTCATGATACAACAATGTTGTTACAACCTTGTGTCGTCAACCTTATAACATTCTCTATACCATGACCATATCAGACTTGTTAGAACAACCTTGCAACAAGTCTGATAATGCCATCAGCTTGTCACAAGTTGTGTAACAAGCTTGACACAGCGTGTAACAAGCTTTGTGATATTATCAGACTTCTGGCAAGGTTGTTCCAACAAGTCCGATACAGTCATGATATCACATATGCATACACACGTAAAAACGCACAAGTTGTTACAGGTCTGCAAACAAGTTGTTACAAATCTGTTCACAAGCTGTCGACAAGTTGTGTTCGCACTGCTTGTTCCCAGTTGTTGTAACAAGTTTGGAACAAGCTGTTAACAACTTGTAACAAGCTTGATGGCATTTTCAGATTTGTTACAAGGTTGTTCTAACAAGTCTAATACAGTCATGATATAACAAGAATGTTACGAGGTTGCCGACACAAAGTTGTAACAATATTGTTATATCATGACTGTACCGGACTTGGAACAACCTTGCAACAAGTCTGATAATATCAACAAGGTTGGTACAAGTTGTTAACAGCTTGTTCCAAACTTGTTGGCAGACTTGCTACAAGATGTGAGATTTTTACGCGTGTACCTCAATAAGTGCCGTAAGTGAAATAATTTATTCAGATATTCAGATATTATTTTGGTGCAAACAGTATGCAATGGTTGATTAATTTGTATGTTGGGAAAGGGGAGTGGGGGGGGGGACTTTGTCATCCTGCATGCAAACCCCCGTTACCCTGACCCAAATGAAGTTGTCAAACCCCCTTAGATTTACATCGACATTACTTTATTACTTCTAGACTGGAGTATTCTCTATGTGACCGTGATTATTTTCGCTGTCATCGTCGCGATTGTTGGAATTTCCTGGGGCGTTTGTTTCTGTATGGGAAGGTGAGAGTCATCGTCGTTTTACTTATTTATTGAGAAATCACTGTTAAAATACTGGCTGTGTGTTCCATTTTGTAACTGTGAGTCCATTTAAAGGGGTATTGCAATATGTATGAATAAATAGTTTTCCCTGTTTGAAAGAACTTTTAAAATTATGTCGAAAAATATTTTACCTCATAAATCAGTGTGCTGTCCGCCATCTTGAATTGTTGTGGACGCATGATACGCCACGACTGAACTCAATTTATTTTAACTTTACCTGGAACGATATACTGTATGTAATCACACAATACTAGAGACATACAGAAGGTCGACTCAGCCTAAAAAGTGTTCCCCCGCAAGTTATCGTTCATGATAAAAGATATGGAGTACACTGTACACTGTACACTGTACACTGTACACTGTACACGCCACCTGTACACGCCATAAATGGTGTCACGCAAACCCCTATTGAATAGCCCGGGTAATAAAAGAGTTTCTTAACCTTATTCGTTGTTTTAGAACTAAAAGCAGGCGAAGAAAGCATCAGTATTCTATCATTGGTGATGAAGATAGTGATGATGCAAAGAATGCGACAATGGAATTATTCCCAAGAGGTATGTCCTAGTTTTTCAAAGACACAAAACACTTCCATGGTTTGTGTCAACTACAGTCGTAAAAATCTCACATCTTGTAGCAAGTCTGCCAACAAGCTGTTAGACAAGTTGTGTTCGCACTGCTTGTCCCAAGTTGTCAAAAAGTTTGGAACACGCTGTTAACAACTTGTAACAAACTTGTTGATATTATCAGACTTGTTACAAGGTTGTTCCAACAGGTCCGATACATTCATGATACAACAATATTGTTACAACCATGGTCATCAACCTTGTAACATTCTTGTTGTATCATGACTGTATCGGACTTGTTGGAACAACCTTGTAACAAGTCTGATAATGCCATCAAGCTTGTCACAAGTTGTTAACAGCTTGTAACAAGCTTGGTGATATTATCAGACTTGTCGCAAGGTTGTTCCAACAGGTCCGATACATTCATGATACAACGATACTGTTACAACCTTGTGTAATTCTTCTTATGTCATGACTGTATCATTCTTATTACAACAACCTTGTAGCAAGTCTGATAATGCCATCAAGCTTGTTTGTGACAAGTTGTTAACAGCTTGTTACAAGTTGTTAACAGCTTGTAACAAGCTTGGTGATATTATCAGACTTGTTGCAGGATTGTTCCAACAAGTCTGTTACAGTCATGATACAACAGTATTGTTACAATCTTGTATCGTCAACCTGGTAACATTCTTGTTATATCATGACTGTGTCAGACTTGTTAGAACAACCTTGTAACAAGTCTGATAATGCCATCAGGCTTGTTGCAATTTGTTAACAGCTTGTAACAAGCTTGGTAAAATTATCAGACCTGTTGCAAGGTTGCTCCAACAAGTCCGATACAGTCATGATATAACAATATTGTTACAACCTTATGTCGTCAACCTTGTAACATTCTTGTTATATCATAACTTGTTACAAGTTGTTAACAGCGTGTTCCAAACTTGTTACAACAACTGGGAACAAGCAGTGCGAACACAACTTGTCGACAGCTTGTGAGTAGATTTGTAACAACTTGTTTGCAATTTTTACGTTGTGTATTAGTCTTATTGGAACAACTTGTCACAAGTCGTCTTCGTAACAAGGTGATAACAATTCGTTGCTTTGTTTTAGATAAATTTCTCAACTCCAGTATCATGAGCGAAACGGACATGGATTCTGACGAAGAAACGTTATTTGAAAATCAAAAACCCTATAAACCTGGCAGAACGTCTCAAATGAATGGCATGCTTAATGGAGCGAAGAAAAAGAATCATCATACGTAACCATGGTAACTAAAAGTTATTCCACATGACGTACTAATGCAAATTACGACAGCCGACCACACGCAAATTATGAAAACAAATTATGTTGTAAAATATTACAGAAGAATTATTTGTCCAAATGAATGGTTAATATTTTAAGATAGAAAAGTCAATAATACTAATCGCAGATTAATATCCATCGCCATCCAGTCACTGGGGACTTTTAGCATGCGGAACATGGTTACACAAGACGTCAAAATCTTTGGTTTGCAGTTGTAAACAGAGCGAGGATGACGTGTAAAACTCCCAATGGACCTTAATTCTTCATTTCTTTGCTACGCTGTCATAAATTTCATTGTATTAATAGCAGTCGCCGTCGTGCTAGCTAAAGGTCCCCAATAGCAGTGGGGAGAGGCGAGGGTCGCACCCAATGTCTGAAAGCCGGCTTTTGAATGCTGATAGCATATGCGACCAGTCCCATGACATCGCCAACTGCCCACAGGATATTGAATGGTGGCTGAAAGCCATAACAAAAATTTTACAACCATGAAAAATGCGTCCAGTATCTGCGATCTTTGGCGAAACTATAGTCATATTTATGCAGTTACCAAGTTCCACAAGATAGCTTAACAACCTCGTCTGAGGCCGCTTTTCGCGTGGTATTGCATGGTTAGTACATTTTCCAAATTGTGTTTTTATTTCACTCGCAACATACGTATATAAAAACTATCAACAATGTGGCGCTCTTGAAATTTTGAACATACTCTTTTCAACCATATTTCAACACAATACACGCTTCCAGAAAGTACTTTACCTTGGCTATATAGCGCCTCGTTTTCGAGATTGAGACCTGGGGCTCTAACCAATGTCACATACACGGAAACGAGGCTATAAAGCCAAACTGTCCGAAACGATGTGTTCGGATGATGTACTTTCCAAAATCGCGCAAGAAAGCCTGGAACGAGGTTGTCATGCTATCTTGGGAAAGGTCTATTAACGATGTGCTAGGCACAAATATTTCTCTTGTGTAAATTTGAATCAAAGTTTAATATAATTAGTTCAATAAATATTTGATAAAAAATTAGTATAATGACTATCTTGGAAGTTAATTTAATCGGTTATCCTACACTTTGGGGGGATTTCTGAAAGTACCATTTTTTCCAAAAGTCCAAAAATCGCTTTGGGTGACTTCAAAGTTGAAAAACTAGATTATGACCGAAACTAGACCAATCTAAAACCCCCTGTTTCAGAAACAAAAACTAAACCCCCTGTTTCAGACACAAAAACTAAACCACCCTGTTTCAGAAACAAAAACTAAACCACCCTGTTTCGGAAACAAAAACTAAACCTCCCTGTTTCAGAAACGAAAACTAAACCCCCTGTTTCAGAAACAAAAACTAAACCCCCCTGTTTCAGAAACAAAAACTAAACCCCCTGTTTCAGAAACAAAAACTAAACCCCCTGTTTCAGAAACAAAAACTGAACCCCCTGTTTCAGAAACAAAAACTGAACCCCCTGTTTCAGAAACAAAAACTAAACCACCCTGTTTCAGAAACAAAAACTAAACCACCCTGTTTCAGAAACAAAAACTAAACCACCCTGTTTCAGAAACCTCAAGAGCGGTCAAACTAGAACAAAAGTAAAGGTTAACGCCTTAACTTTTGGTCCATGTTTGGCCACTGCTGAGCTTTTTGAAAATGTGGTAAAAAGTCGCCAAAAATGAGGGAAGCCCCCTAACTTTTTTGTCTATTTTGGCCACTTTTGAGCACCAGTCGAGTACTGCAACAATGCATGGTGTACATGTTATGCAGATGCAAGTGTTTTCAATCGGAAGTTAAATTAATCGGTTATGATATCCTGCACTTTTGGGGTGTTTCTGAACGTACCATGCATTTTCCCCAAAAGTCCAAAAATCGATTTGGCATGGACAGCCACGAATAATTTAGTTTAATTAATAGTTCCTATCGATAGATTGTGCATTATGAAGAGTGGATTTTTTGCAATTCTAGTTTTACAGTATCTCCAAAATTTGGATTTGAAAGTGATTGTAATTATTGTCCATCAGCTTGTAACAAGTCTGCAAACAAGTTGTTACAAGTCTGTTCACAAGCTGTCAACAAGTTGTCTCCGCACTGCTTGTTCCCAGTTTGTTGTAACAAGTTCGAAACCAATCTCGTACCCAGAGCAATGTCTGTGCGCGGGCTAGGATGGCATTGGCTCTGGGGAAATTGAATTTTTCCTGTGCTGTGATTGGTTTAACGTTTATCAATCGTACATGCCGACAAAGAACCGGAACCCCTAAATATAGGGGTTCCGGTTGTCAATTTCCCCAGAGCCAATGCCATCCTAGCCTGCTCTGAGTACGAGATTGGTTCGAAACAAGCTGTTAAAGTGCCTATGACACAAAATTTCACCCCAAATGTTTATGATTGCATTGTAAAGTTCATTTAAAATGACTTAAATAATTTCTTTTATAGAATTTTGGTAACTTGCTTCCTTTGCAAGATATTCAACTTTGTTTCATATGCAAATATCACCGGTGTGACCGCATCGCACGATATTTTGAAAACGCAATATTTTACCTTGATAAAATATGTTTACAAACAAATACAGATTGTTAATTACCAGTTATGAAAATTAATACATATACATATACATATACAAGGGCAATTTTTAAGTTTTTTTAGATGCGTATTCGTCAAGAAAACTATACTTTTCTGAAATGTGATGTGATGTTACACCGGTGATATTTGCATATGAAACAAAGTTGAATATCTTGAAAAGGGAGCAAGTTATAAAAATTCTATAAAAGAAATTATTAAGTCATTTTAAGTGATCTTTACAATGCAACCATAAACTTTTGGGGTGAAATTTCGTGTCATAGGCACTTTAACAATTTGTAACAAGTAACAACCTTGATGGCATTATCAACCTTGTTACAAGACTGTGCTAACAAGTTTGTTACAACGTACCATAATATAACAAGGATGTTACAAGGTTGTCAACACAAGGTTGTAACAATCTTGTAAAATCAAGCATGTGACGGACTTGTCAGAACAACCTTGTATTAAACAAGTCTGAAAACTTCGACAAGGTTGATACAAGTTGTTCAATTCCAAACCTGTTGACAACTTGTGACAAGCAGTGCATACATTAAAAATGTTAAAGGTGATCTACAGTCCGTATAGACTTGCCACAAGTCGGCCTCGAACGAAATGCGCGCAGCGAGCGCGAGCGACGATACAGTCCGTATGTAAACAAAGCCTTTGTTTACATTTTTGTGTCCAAAATATTGAGCTTTATTCGACAAACTATTTATATTTTCAAGCTTCTACAGTATAATAAATGATCAAGAAACAACAATCAGGCTTTTCAAGAACTCAAAACATAGTTAAACTGTTTGTATCATAAAAAGTGGGCTCATTTGTGCACATGCGCAGATCGGACTGTGGATCACCTTTAACTGTTTTCGTAGTGTCCATTGTTTTGTATTTTTTTTTTAAATGTCTCGATCAGTTGCCTTTCAGTTTATTTATAGCTGCCAACATTACTGAATCTAACCGCCGACAAAAAAATATAAAATTTTAATCTAATATCTGTTTCGTTTCCTTTTAAGGTGCGAGGAATATTACCCTGCTGGCAGTGGTTTCTGAGCTGAGTAAAGAGGAATATCTGAAGATCTGAGATTTTAAAGGTGATCTACAGTCCGTATGTAAACAAAGCCTTTGTTTACATTTTTGTGTCCAAAATATTGAGCTTTATTCGACAACTATTTATATTTTCAAGCTTCTAGAATATAATAAATGATCAAGAAACAACAATCAGGCTTTTCAAGAACTCAAAACATAGTCAAACTGTTTGTATCATAAAAAGTGGGCTCATTTGTGCACATGCGCAGATCGGACTGTAGATCACCTTTAAAGGGGCCCTACAGTCATTTTTTAGTCGAAAAGCCACCTGAAGTAATTGTTTACATTTTTTGTTGTCGCTACTTGACATGCGCACTACGGCATGCATGCGTTTTCCGGTATGCGGAAGTACTCATACTCATGGATACTGCATGTAAGATACAGCCAAACGAATCTCCGTGGAGTCCCCTACTTAAGGTGGGTTTTCGACTAAAAATGACTGTAGGGCTCCTTTAAGTGGCAGATTTGGAGAATGAACAAGGACTATGTTAAAGCATATAGACGCATTTAGATAAAGCCCGGTTCAAAAGAGTCCAACTTTGTTGTTCTTACAATTAATGTTGGACGATTTTGGCTATTGTTGGGGGAGAGTGTTCAGTTCAATGTTGCATAATGTTGGTGAAAATTTTAAACAAACCACAGCCTATCGAAGAGAAGACGGCTGTGAGACTAATTATAATAACTATATAACTCATTATCTATTTTGTATTTTTGCCCAACTAACCAATAGCAATGTTTTAGGAACGTTAACTATCCGTGACTCGAACAATAGGGAAATTAGAAATTGGTATTGGTGGATTTGGCAAAAATACAATACACACTAAATTTGTCAGGACTAGATTTATGAATAAAAGTTGCCTACAGGGGAGGAAAAATACGCGAGCACCATGCAATCACCGAATCTGTAAAATCCGGAATAGAAAAACCTCCGAATCTTTAAACTTGGAATCGAAAAACCCCCGAATCTTTAAACTTGGAAAAGAAAACACCCCGAATCTTTAAACTTGGAATAGAAAAGCCCCCGAATCCTTAAACTTGGAATCGAAAAACCCCCGAATCTTTAAACTTGGAATAGAAAACCCCCCGAATCTTTAAACTTGGAATCGAAAAACCCCCGAATCTTTAAACTTGGAAAAGAAAACCCCCCGAATCTTTAAACTTGGAATAGAAAAGCCCCCGAATCCTTAAACTTGAAATCGAAAAACCCCCGAATCTTTAAACTTGGAATCGAAAAACCCCCGAATCTTTAAACTTGGAATAGAAAACCCCCCGAATCTTTAAACTTGGAATCGAAAACCCCCCGAATCTTTAAACTTGGAAAAGAAAACCCCCCGAATCTTTAAACTTGGAATAGAAAAGCCCCCGAATCCTTAAACTTGGAATCGAAAAACCCCCGAATCTTTAAACTTGGAATCGAAAAACCCCCGAATCTTTAAACTTGGAATCGAAAAAACCCCGAATCTTTAAGCGTGGAATCGAAAAAAACCCCGAATCTTTAAACTTGGAATCGAAAAACCCCCGAATCTTTAAGCGTGGAATCGAAAAAAACCCCGAATCTTTAAACTTGGAATCGAAAAACCCCCGAATCTTTAAACATGGAATCGAAAAAACTCTCGAATCTTTAAACTCGGAATCGAAAACCCCCCGAATCTTTAAACGTCGAATGGAAAAAAACCCGAATCTTTAAATTTGGAATCGAAAAACCCCCGAATCTTTAAACTTGGAATCGAAAAACCCCCGAATCTTTAAACTTGGAATAGAAAACCCCCCGAATCTTTAAACTTGGAATAGAAAAACACCCGAATCTTTAAACTTGGAATAAAAAAACTCCCGAATCTTTAAACTTGGAATCAAAAAACCCCCGAATCTTTAAAATCGGAATGGAAAAACTCCCGAATCTTTAAACTTGGAATTGAAAAACCCCCGAATCATTAAACTTGGAATCGAAAAACCTCCGAATCTTTAAACTTGGAATCGAAAAACCCCCGAATCTTTAAGATTGGGAATCGAAAACCCCCGAATCTTTAAGATTGGGAATCGAAAACCCCCTGAATCTTTAAACTCAGAATCGAAAACCCCCCGAATCATTAAACTCAGAATCGAAAAACCCCCGAATCTCTAAACTCAAAATCGAAAACCCCCCGAATCTTTAAGATTGGGAATCGAAAAACCCCCGAATCTTTAAAATCATAATCCAAAACCCCCCGAATCTTCAAACTCAAAATTGAAAAACCCCCGAATCTTAACACTCAGAATCCAAAAACCCCCAAATCTTTAAACTCAAAATCGAAAAACCCCCGAACCTTTAAGATCAGGAATCGAAAAACCCCCGAATCTTTAAACTCAGAATCGAAAAACCCCCGAATCTTAAAACTCAGATTCGAAAAAACCCCGAATCTTTAAGATCAGGAATCGAAAACCCCCGAATCTTTAACATCAGGAATCGAAAGACCCCCGAATCTTTAAACTCAGAATCGAAAAACCCCCGAATCTTTAAGATCAGGAATCGAAAACCCCCGAATCTTTAACATCAGGAATCGAAAGACCCCCGAATCTTAAAACTCAGAATCCAAAAACTCCTGAATCTAAAAACTCAGAATCCAAAAACCCCCGAATCTTTAAATTCAAAATCGAAAACCCCCCGAATCTTTAAGATTGGGAATCGAAAAACCCCCGAATCTTAAAAATCAGAATCCAAAAACCCCCGAATCTTAAAACTCAGAATCCCAAAAGCCCAAAATCTTTAAACTCAAAATTGATAACCCCCCAAATCTTTAAATTAAACTCAAAATCGAAAACCCCCGAATCTTTTAACTGAGAATCGAAAAAACCCCGAATCTTTAAACTCAGAATCGAAAACCCCCCGAATCTTTAAGATCAGGAATCGAAAACCCCCGAATCTTAAACATCAGGAATCGAAAGACCGCCGAATCTTAAAACTCAGAATCCAAAAACTCCCGAATCTTAAAACTCAAAATCGAAAACCTCCGAATCTTTAAGATCAGGAATCGAAAAAACCCCGAATCTTTAAACTCAGAATCGAAAAACCCCCGAATCTTTAAGATCAGGAATCGAAAACCCCCGAATCTTTAACATCAGGAATCGAAAGACCCCCGAATCTTAAAACTCAGAATCCAAAAACTCCTGAATCTAAAAACTCAGAATCCAAAAACCCCCGAATCTTTAAACTCAAAATCGAAAACCCCACGAATCTTTAAGATTGGGAATCGAAAAACCCCCAAATCTTTAAAATCAGAATCCAAAACCCCCCGAATCTTTACATTAAGATCAGAGATCGGATGACCCCCGAATCTTTAAACTCAGAATCGAAAAAAATCCCAAATCTGAAATCAGGAATCGAAAACCGGCCCCCCCCCCCCCTGAATATTTAAGATCAGGGTCGAAAAAAACCCGAATCTTTAAACTCAGAATCGAAAAAACAAGATTTGAACTGTTTGCGATTATCAATCTTGAAGTTCCTATTGTACTGAAATTATTAGTTGAAAAATTATTTCAAAAGAATGTGTTCCCCTTGCTCTGCAGCTTATTGTTATACAAACAGTTTACTGGCAAAACTGAGTTTTCAAGACAAAAGCTGATAAATAAAATAATCATCCATGATTCAATAAACAAAGACCTAATTTAAAATGTCTCGATGGCCTCAGCTTCAAACGCGTAAACAAGTTAATTATTCAAATAATTAAACATTCCAAGCGACCGTATTTAATCCCCTAGGGAGTTCAGACCAATGCATGCATTTAGCAGTAGCCAATGATAGCAAAGCTTTCGCAAGCTAAACCAATCAGAGCTCGTAAAAATCTGACCAACATCAAACAAGGGTGTGGTTAACTCATTCGTGGCAAATTTAAATATTTCTGCTCGAGGCTTTGAGGCGTCATTCTTACTCGAACTTTAGTAAAGTACAGATGAAAGTTAGTGCAAAACGTCGCCTTTATGAAACGTTTTCGAACTAAAGACGTTATACCATGCAGAGGGATAGGTCAGTATTTAATTTAGCTATTTTTTAAACGTTTTTGAGTTGTTCTCGTTAAGTTATTGCTGTTTTTTAAAACACGTGTGTATGCATTCATTGTAGTACTATTGAATTTGATTCCCATTCAAGCGCTTCGTTTCAGCGCTCAGTCGCTTTATTTTCTCAGTGTCCCTCCCTAATTTCCTAGCAGTAATGTTCAGAAGTACCATTTAACTCATATTTAGTTTATCTGCAATTTCAGGGCGAAAATTTGAAGAGAAAGTGAACTAATTCAAGTCGCCGACATGGTCAAAATGCCGAAGCACTTGGTAAGGATAATATGTCTATTAAAGGTGTTTCCTTCTTGTTCGTTTCTCGTTTTCAAGCTTCCCCAATACACCTAGGACGTCTTCTAGCGTTACTTTGTAGCCTTATGAACATTCTAAGTCAAGTTTAGTTCCAATATTGGTGAATTCTCAACACCGAGCAAATTGCAGACTTATTTTAGGCATGGTCAATTTCACATGCAGGCGTGGCATATTTTTGAACGTTTTAGCTTTTACAAACTTGTCTTTTATGTACAAATTGTTCTCTGAGAGGGAAGGCTAAGCCTTTTGAGTTTCTTGAGGGTTGTCTAAATTGAATTTCATCCAATATTTTTGCGAAATTTAGAGAAGAAATGTCCTCGTGGTTCATGCCCTAATTTTATGCATAAATGCACGCATTCTTTAAAATTAAAATAAATTGAATTGGACAACCGCACCCTGTGTAAAGACATTAAATAACTCTTCGCTGTTTTGAAACTAATAATTCATTGTCCAATTATTTAGACTGCCTCAAAGTTGATCATTTCGATGGCAAGCAGTACAGAAAGACCTCTGCACAAATTTGAAGAGAAGCTCGCTTAGCAGTCGAAGCAAAACGAGAAAGACTAGAAGGCAAAGGACAAATGAGACCAGCCGCCAGCTCCGATTCCTTTGTGGACTCGCAGCATTCATCGTCGCATATCGTCTACAGTGCAAAGTTAAGGAAGAGATTGAACTCATCAGAGATTGCACAAAGACAGTAACGAAATCATATGATAACATACCCGGGACTGTCTGCCGTACCATCCAGAGACCATAACCAATACGCCATACCATCGCCAAAGATGTTGCCCATTACAGAAGGTATATATTTTCTCGTGATTCTCGTTGTGCGTGTTCGAAATTACGCGGGGACCACCCTGAAGACGCCCAAATGCACAAAACAAATTTAAATATGGCACATTTTCCTTAATTTCGCAATTTATTCAAATTTTCTACATTTCTTGGTATTTGTGAAAAGCTCTCGACGAAATCAAAATGTTTGAAATTCGGAAGTTTCTATCTGGGAGTTTGTTTATTTGAAAGATATTTGAAATGAAATTTTGAAGTTTACATCACTTTGGTATTTGGTTTAAACGCTAGGTAAAATCATGCCAGATGAGTGGTCGACCATTCGTCGAAGTTCGGTGATACTTCGGCTCGGACTTTCCCGACCTACAGTTGAGTTGCTCTGATCGATTGTCGTGATCAACTAGCGCAAATGTAAGGTCTGGCCAACCTTGCGTTTGTGCTTTTTGTTCGTGGCATGAGATTGGGACAGCTCGCCTATAGGCCTGGAAAGATCAAGCCAAAGTACCACCAAACTTTGATTTGTGGCCGGCTTTTTGTCTGTATGGCTTTATCCAGTGTTTTCCCGTTATCATTTTGATGTAGACTTTGGGATTTTGGCTTGAATATCTTTAATATAAACATTCTTTGAGGTTTAATCTTTCAAGAATTTCATGGGTTTTGACTAGTTAATGTGTTTTTCGTAGATACTATAATTGTATTAAAAATATCGACCAAAAAAATTTAAAACTGACCAAAACGTCATTTGAGGTGTCGGATGGGAGGTCCAGTGGGAGTCGTAGCGGATACCAAAGGATAAATACGGATTACTGTGACACTGTGCGCTATTGGAGATATTGTGAACATTTATGGATAATTGTGAACGTTAATGGATTACAACAAACAATTATGGATTATGAACATTTGTGGATAAAATGTACCTCGCGATCGACGGTTACCTACCAATGTACCTTGACAACGAAAGCTGCACGACAGCAACGAGATGACTGCCTCAAGGTTAGAGGGTTTAGTCTGATAACAAGCAGTAGTTAGCTTGTTATCAGACAGTAGTTAGCCTGCTATCAGGCAGTAGTTAGCCTGCTAACAGGCAGTATATCTGTAGGATTCATACCCAAGACTCTAATTTGCATGTTGTCGGTGAAGTCTCTGGGTTAATCGGTTTAAAATTCCTGGCGGTCTGTGGTTAGTAGTACATTTGCACGCAAGGTTGATTTTTTATTCGGATGTTTTGCATGCTAATAAAAAATGAGATTTTGACCTCAATTAATCAGAATTTCGACATCATCTGAATCGAAAGTCAATCTTAAGAGGTTAACATTTGAGCTTCCGGTCACGTGGTTCTTTGCATGCACTCGGTTCGGTTACTGGTGGGTTTCAGTAAGTGTTACAATCCAGACGATGGAGCAATTTATTTGTTTCAAACACTTCCTGGAGCAATTTATTTGCTTCAAATACAAGACTACTACATAAAGTGAAAAGGAGTGAACATTATTTTTTCACTCTAGTAACTCGTAGTGAGACCCACTAGTTATTTGCAGTCTGTTCGTGCCAATGTTGTTCTCTTTGTGTAAATGTACTGCTTAGGTGTCTCCGTGTCTGTGCATGAACGCAACGCGCAGCAGAATCCAGAATATAGGCAGACAAGTAAAACTTTGACAGACTTTAAAATTTTGTTTATATCGATGTGTTATGTTCATAAATGTATAGAAATATCATGAAATGTGTTAGGCTTTGGCTTGGGGTTAAATCTAACCCTATAACCTTAACCTTAATCCATTACATGATCTGTATGTTTGTGTACGTAATATATGGGTGTAGCCAAACTTTTGTTGAAAAGCTGGCATAGTTTTCCTTGGGTAGGATAACTAAACTGGGTGCAAATGGTATCCATAGCTTAGAGGGTGCAAATGGTACCCGTAAGAAGATTGGTGGATATCGTTGTGGACAAGATTTATTTGAAAGATGTGGATTCTCTCCGGGTATTCCGGTTTCCACCTACAGAAAGATCAGCTTAGGACTGTAATGAAATAATTATTGTAATGATAAACAGTCTACGCTTTAGTGATAAGGCCGTAGTGCATGTATATCGCTGGTTTCGAACGTTGGTTTTCTGCGCCGAGTTATATGAAAACAGTTCGCTACCAGAGATTAGGTCCCCTCTCTGTCATGGCGGCTCGACGATGAAAGACATTACCATAAGGCATGCAAACCTTACCCCTGTTTGTGGAAGCTCATCAGGTGCAACCGGCACACTAGGTTAAGTTAAGTTAAGTTAAGCTAGGGGCATGACCGAGACTCCACATTCGGGGGTTTCCCTTGCAGGTTTTTGAAATGATATGTGCGCGCGCACTAGTTAGGAAGGTTAGACAGCTAGAAATAGGGCGCTTTGCATGTTTACTATAATTCATTATCATCATACTTTTGCGCCAGTAACATTCTGAGAAGTATTTACCACAGCAGGAAAATGGAATCTGTTTTCCTGTTGAAAAATACTTACAGAATCAATTCAAAGTGGAAAAAAGAAAACATTGCGAAAAAGAGAAATAAAAAATATTGCGAAAAAGAGAAATAAAAAATATTGCGAAAAAGAGGAATAAAAAAGAAAACCGCGAAACCACTTTGAATATAAGCAACAATAGTCCAAGAATACTTGTTGCAGAAAAAACAACAAAAAAGAAACAATTTTCTGCCAAGATATCTTGGATTAGGAGCTTAACGATAAGAAACGTAGTTCTCGCTCCAAAGTGGAGAATAGGCTCGTTTCTTTAGGTTGCTAATGCATTGCGCGCGCGCGCTTTATAAATTGTACTATAAGTTTTCAGCCGAAAAGACCGCCAGGAAAAATAGAGTGTTTTCACGTGCTGCTTTGTTGACGGACAAGTATTTTTAAATAATGGTTTTCTTGTTAACTTTTATTTCGGCACTTTAACTTGTTCCCAAACATAGCCGCCGTGAAAACACTCTGCAGATCAAGTTTATATATGGTCAGCGACATAGAATGTTTGCCATGTTGCATTCCGTGTTGTCTTACATTCATACATAAGCTTGGTCGAACCATGGATCATAAAAAACACCATGGTCGTGCGCAGCTAATTAACATAAGCGGCGCGCGCGCGTGCTGCTGTAATGCGGAGTACAGTCAGTGAGTGTACTCCATGTGCAAATAGTGACGTTGTGCTCTATATAGTCTTGACTTGAAAAATAAATTAAGGTGCATGTTCATTAGAATTAAGTGCGCAACGTTTCATGCAAATAAAATTAAACGCGCTCTGATGCATGCTTAGTACAATTAAGGGCATGAAAACCAGTGCATGCTAATTTAAATTGAGTGCGCGCGTTGCAATTTTCTTGCGCGCGATAAAGCAAAATGCAGCAAAAATCTAAAATATAGAAATGCACACATCACATCTTCAAAATGCATCCAAGTGTCCTAACAGCTTTTACAAACTATAGTTAGTAAAATGTGTTGGGTCGTTGGATTCATTTGCCACGCACCTTGTCCTGAACATATCTGAAATATTTTCAGGTTTCAAGGTTAAGATAAATATACCCTTACATGGAACAATTCGTTCATAAAAAGAGATCTATTTGTCTTGCGCAATCTGTAGACTGAATTTTTGGGTGGTCTACAATTTTTTTTTGAACATCTCGTGAGATTTTTTTTATTTGGATTTTTTTTGCAAGATTTTTACTTTTCTGGATTTTGGTATGTATTGGTAGGTATGGTATATATTATAGTTAATTCGGTCACACAGGGTTGCCCCCGGGGTTTTCGGAATCCGGACTCGTAATCACCAAGGTTTTTCACCAGATCCTCTGGTTTTCCTCGGGTGATTACGTATTTTTTCGTTTGGCAAAATATCTAAAAATTCCAAAACAAAAAACAGTGTCCGTGTTCGGGACGAATTTAGTACTGTATAAATGTTATATTTTTCTCAATAAAAAAAATGCATTGGAAAAGTAATTTATGATTGGGTCATAACCTCTCGCATGGAGGAAATTGGAAGTACCCCCCCTGGAATGTTCTAGTACACTAGTTATTATCTAGTCGTGAAAATTGGAAAGACACAGTACACTTTCGTTTCCGGGTTGAATTCCCAGAACACTGTAAAGTAGTTACCAAAAAGTAATGTACATAATTTGTACTTTCATGTTGACATATTCTGCCAAAAGTTACATAAGGAGGAACTGCTTATTATTTATGAGGGAGGGTGGGCCGGTTGGATTGGGAGATGGGAGTAGCAGGCCTTAAAATATCTTTTACAGGGCCGTCTGACAAAATGTCCCATAACGTTGAGTTTGGGTCGGACATATATATCCGATATATGACCTTCAGTTTTGACTAATATTGAAATAAGTCTGAATGACACAAATGAATATCCAGCACAATTAATGTATTAATTCTGAACGTTTAATGTTGTGAAGATATTAAATAATTTGTGTCATTCATACTTATTTCCAAGCCAAAATTTAAAGCCTGTTTTCCACTTCATCATTTCGCTCAACATTTCCATTGGACAATTTATACAACATTTCCATTGGACAAAGCTACAACATTTCCATTGGACAAAGCTACAACATTTCCATTGGACAAAGCTAAAGTGTGGTCGGACACCAACACACTCTGGTCGGACAAACAATTATAAACCCCAGTTTCACTTATGTTGGACAGAAAGTCCGGTGGCTTGCTCTCTACGTCGGACAATTTAACGAATGGGTCGGACAAATTAGTCCATGACCGACCGATATTTTAAGGCCTGGTAGAGTTCTAAAATAGTTGCTGGGGTGGGCCAACATAATTATGAATAAGAGGGGGCCGAAGTGGGTTCCCGGGGCTAATTTTTATGCAGCCATCAATTGGTGCTTGCCTGAATCTTAAAATTTGAAAGAATATCCCTGACCAGATGTTTCAATCACCTATATTCAAACTGAATTTGTGTCCAAATTGCCATGGGGAGGGGGTGCAATCCCTGCCCTATAAATAGGTGAACCCCCTCCATTGTATTCAGGATGGAGCACATGAAGCTAGGCAGTCAAGCAACCATATGTATTTACTTAAAACTATGTTAAAACATTCAAAAATGCACATAAAGCTCTCGCCTGACTTAATGCTTTATCGTGTCACATGGTTGCAGCAATACAATTAACGTAACCATGTGAGGTGGTCTGCATACATAATGAGAATATTATCGCCAATATCGATAGTAAAGCCAGGTGAACTTTATGCACATTTTAACTGTTTTTAATGCATTTTTAACTGAAACATTATATTTTTGCTAGGCTGCCGGTATGCCTGGAGAGGCCAACATTGAATATCAATTGTATCATGCCACATAATCGATGATTTTACCTGCAGTTTGAGTTTTTTTGAAAATGGGCCAGAATCATTTCATGGCAGAACCAAGGCGGTTTATTTATAAGATCCTATAACTCTATATATATCTAAGGATTCTAAGAGTCACAAGCAGAAAATCATATAGAGTTCAGGGTGAAAAACAGATAATACATCCGGTGCCGTATACAGTTCAGTGGCTCAGACGTGGTCGGACCACTTCGGATTTTCCCAATGTTCGCCCGAAGAGCAGAGGAGGTTGGACAGCTAATTAGGCGAATCTGGGCGAATCTCTCGACCAATCGGATTGCGCCATTTTCCTCATGCTCGCATGAAGCTTTTAGCATCGAAAATTTACATAGGGCTCATAAATATCGACTTTTTCCATATTGTTATGCACATTTTTTTGGAAATTTCACGCGATACTACTTTTACAACAGTTAATCTACCCATTGGAACGGTATCTTGAAAGGTAAGCGTTATTTTCCAGTTTATTTTGACCTCTCACTTTAGGCGCTATGCCGTCGCGATGTAATTTAATGGCGTTTCTGTCAACAATCTTTGAAGACAAAAATCTCAAATTTCCACGGTTCGATTTCGCTATTTTTTCACGATTAGTTAAACAAAAGTATAATCTTTAATTCTATCCAGCCGGCCCCCCTCGGTCCCGCAACCGTTTTCGAGATATTCACCGTTGAATATAGCCCTCTGTAAAATATGTTGCCTTGTCACTCAGATCGATAATGAACTGCTATTACTCGCTTTTTTCTAAAGAAGTGTGATATATTATAGAAATTTCGATATATTATGGATTGTATATATTGCAGTTAAAGTGTGCAAATAATTAAAGCCCTTCCGTAACAATATTTTGTAAGTGAAATTTATTGTTTGGCTGATGTTTTAGATTTGAGGTTCATGATTTTGGCTGGATTCTATTTTTGTCAATGATTTTGTCTGCAAGAATTAAGCATCATCATTAAATTTGGAGGTAATATCGGTTCTTCCAATCTGTACAGACCTTCTACATCTGCAAGATCTCCGATGCTATGATTGTCTCCAGCGAGTGACCAAAACCTTGTTCACCTTTCTGGTTATATTGGTATGACTTCTGGATTTTCAAAACTAACCCAGCGACAACCAGAATAACTACTCATCCACCTGTTTCAAAAATGGCTGGTAAAAGTTAACCCTGGTTTAGATGCTAAATTTGTCCCTCGAAATTTTCTCCCACTTGTTGCCAAGGCTATGTACGTACTTCATGCTGGTCAAAAAGACAATCTGATTTATCACACTGCTCGATGCTTTGGAGAACAACGCCATGGAGATGTTGGTCTGATGCCATTGGATAGAATGCCCTTTATAGGAGTGAAGGCCCACTTGGCCTTTTTTTAACAGTATTTTGTAATGATGTTACACAACTAATTCAGATAAAGTTTGAGAAGTGGTGGTTCTTTCAATGTTAAGCCCCAGAGAGGGGGGTGGGATCAGGCATATGTCGGGCATTTGATTTTTTGAGCAAATTTTCAATCAAATGCCCCACTGTTAGGTAATAAGTATTGGTCAAACACCCCACCATTTTGCAATAAATTGCAATAAATACTATATTAATAAAAGTCATTTTGGTTCAAATTACCCTAACTCAGGCCCAAAATGGTAATCAAAATCCCCATAGTGGGGATGCAATGATGATCAAATACCCTACATATGCCCACCCCCCTCTGGGGCTTGACATTGATAGGTGCAATTATATGCAGGTTTTTTTTTGTATTCTCATGTAATGTACCACAAAGTATCAGCAGCATGTTATTGTGGGACCTTTGATCAATATGTATATAAATAGACATATTTTTGTTTTATTGTTGCATTAATTTTAATGAAAAATAAAAATTACTCACAAAGTTGGTCAAGTGAATGTACAAACTATTTATTTCTTCATTTAGTACAGCACATGTTACAATTATGTACTTGTCTTAATTGCATGAGTGTGCATGACAGACTTTTTATATTTTAATTGTGTACATTCACTTATGATTAACCTAGTTTTTGTTTATGAAAATCTAAAAAGTTACCTAATTGAAATAAGATCATTTCTATAACTTGCTAAACCTAGTCAGTTACAATTATATCACAAACATCTGTCAACGTACACTCGTGCTCTCCCTTACCACTTGAGTCTCCCACTCACCACGTCGCTTTATGAAAAATTTTTGATAAAATCTTATTTTAAACAAGTCAAC